AGAAGGGAGAGCCCGAGAGGGATGAATGAAAAGATAGATGAAACTGGAGGAAGACCAGGGTTTGTGTGAGAGAGAGACTGGAGATATGCACACTTTAAGTCGATTTTTAAGTTGTAGAACGCATTTCGCCATTGGACTGATTTCGCCTTGATATACGCGGCGATATGCGTCCGACCCAAGACACATATCGCCGAAGACGGACGTGTATCTCCAACCAATTTTCGGCGTTCTGTGTCTTAGGACACAGAACGTCACCCGGTCACTCTGGCCCCTGACACCGGTGAAACACCGAAGCGCCGTGAGCAACTTTATGGTGGATATGTGCGCTATATAAATATCAAGTAGTATTATTATTAATATTATGTAATGCTATAGAATATGGAATAGCAATTTACTCTTTAGGGACTTTTGAAACATGTAGTTGATTTCACAGTTGATTTCACTTTGTTGTTTTCACAGTTGATTTCACATTGTTGTTTTCACTGTCCGCAGTGCCAACGGCTATGTATTATTATTACTCATATCTGTTCATCGCCTCTACAATTAAGGCTATTTGAATAAACAACAGCTTTAATTGTTAGGCTTCCTGGGATAAGTTTCAATTGATGTTTAGAAATTTATGTTTGCACCCAGTAGACCCCGCAGGTTCGAGGACAAAAGAAAATTCTGACTTTTTCAATAACAAGATCGAAAACATGATAATAATTTACTGGGTGAAAAGTCAATAGTTTTTTTCACAGCAATAAACATCATAGTCGTGGTTAATTTTTGTACGTGGCACTACGTGGCAATAACATATCAGATAGTTTCATTAACACCAGGTTTACAATTTTAAAGAAAATTGAATTTAAATCCTTGACCATGATCTCTCATTCTTTCTCTCTCACTCTATCTCTCTCTCTCTCTCTCTCTCTCTCTCTTTCTTACAATACAATTCAGAAAATACATGTGCCCTTTTGACCCCCCCCCCCCTCCCCTCGGAGCTTCGTCACTGACTCTTATTCCGGACCGTAAGTCTTACAATTTAACACGTTTAAATGTACAGGTATACCTTGCACAAGTCGAAACCTCTTGGGACCACATAAATATATTAGACTAATAAGAGGTAAATAACATATGTTTTGCATTATCTGGTTGAAAAAGTTGTATCAATTTATTCAAGGTTATCTACAAAACAGATGTGTAGTATAAATTAGGATTAGGTTAAAGATGACCCCCCCCCCCCCCCCTCTAAAAATAAAAACAAGTGCCGTATGTAGACAAACCCCCAAAAATGTATAGACTCCTTATGAAAAAAAAGTTAGTGTGGAGCCCCGCACATAATATGCAGGATCCCAAACTATTTTGTTCATAGGCGGTCATGATTATAATTCTTTAGGGTTTGTATATGTTGAGGGCCCACGTTCAAATTTCAAAATTGTTGGGTTCAGAGCTCAATGTGGGGGCCATCTGTATGAGAATCTTGTTTTTAGAAGTCCTATATGACACCGGCCGCTTAAAATCTCGAGCCTCGGATTCAAAGTTAAACGTTAAAAACAGCCCCTGCGGTCATCACTCTTTAGTGAGAAATTTGAAAAAGGGCACAATATTTTGGATGTCTTACGGTAGGGCCGTTTCACAACTCTTAATTTTGCCCTTCATTTGGATTCAGCTCATACCAAATCGCTTGTGCTTGTATTTGAACTCATGTTGGTAGTAATCATGGACAGGGGCGGCAATCCTTGGCCCGATAGGGGGACACGTCCCCCAGGAAATTTAGAAAGATAGCTAGAAAGAAATATAGCGGAAAGAACGCACATATTGGGCTTAGGGATTTTCTAGAATGCATAATTTCAGCATTCAACATTGCAAAATCTCGCTTGGTCGCTAGGCCCCGGCCCTTGCCCGATAACACAAAACTATGGCGCTCCCGGCCGTGATTTATTCATGGTTGGTGTAAAAGATCTTGTTTTCCCTTTCATTTCTATTTACCTAATTGTGTGCTATCACAATCATGATTGTGTCATTTTCCCTTTAAAGGTACTATGTCCCTTTTGCAGCCAACCTCAAATGCTGTAGAACTTTGCAGGAATTATGAATATGTCATGTATGTCCTATCTGTGAAATTTAAACGTTAGCAGTGTCCTCATATTTAAATTATGCAAGGAAAACCGTTTACTTGCTAGACTTCACTGTCAGACACTATTGAGTGACTGACTGGCTTTTTTCTTGCTTTGGTAATAACATATATGAAAATAGTTGTAAAGGGTACATGAGCATTTGTCTACATCAATAACCCACTTCTTGTGATGGCCAAGATTAAACTGATTGAATCTTTGCGCAGCATAAAACGTATGACCATTCGGTACAATTGTCTGAAAATCAAGACTATTACTTTTGGGCTCTATAGCCCTAAAGTCGATTTGACAACAGTTAATAGTCGTTATTTTCCCACTTGAAGACATTTTCAAGCCCCACCTTTTTTAGGGAAGTTCTAAATTAGTATTATCTTTCAAATGCAGTTGGAATTTAACTTTTTCATTTTTTTGGCCTGCAAATGGGACATAGTCCCTTTAAAGCAGGCGCGTAGCTAGGGGCGGTAGGGGCAGTAAGAGGACATAGGACGAAAAAGGAGCAGACAAAGAAACATTTTTGAAAATTCTGACAAGTCGAGAACAGTACCACGAATCGTCTTCTTTCTCTAATAATTTAATGAAATGTCAAAACTTCCGCGCATCGCTCGGGAGGGGGGCAACTGAATTCAGACAAGGATTGGGAGTCAAGAATGGTAAAACGAATCATCTTCTTTCTCTAATAATTTAATGAAACGTCAAAGCTTCCACGCTTCCACGGGGGAAACTGCATTCAAACAAGGATTAAGAGTCACGAATCGTCTTCTTTCTCTAATAATTTAATGAAACGTCAAAGCTTACGCGCTACGCGCAGGCAGGGGGAAACTGAATTCAGACAAGGATTAAGAGTCAAGAATGGTACAAAGAATCGTCTCCTTTCTCTTATAATTTAATGAAACGTCAAAGCTTCCGCGCTTCGCGCGGAGGTGGGGGGGGGGGGGGGGGGGGGCGAGAACTCAATTCAGACAAGGATTAAGAGTCGAGAACGGAACAACGAATCATCTTCTTTCTCTAATAATTAAATGAAACGTTAAGCTTACGTGCAAAGCGCAGGAGGGGGAATTGAATTCAGACAAGGATTAAGAGTCGAGAATGGAACAACGAATCATCTTCTTTTTCTAATAGCTTCATTAAACTATGGAGGGTCAAAGCTTCCGTGCTTCGCGGGGGAGGGGGGCTGAATTCAGTCAAGTCATAAGAGTCGAGAATGGTACAACAAATCTTCTTTCTTTAATAATTAATGAAAGGGCAAAGCTTCCGCGCTTCGCGCGGGTGGGAGGAAATTGAATTCAGACAAGGATTAAGAGTCGAGAATCGTCTTCTTTCTCTAATAATTTAATGAAATGTCAAAGCTTCCACGCTTCGCGCGAGAGGGGGGGGGGGGGAACTGCCTTCAAACAAGGATTACGAGTCGAGAATGTTACAACGAATCGTCTTCTTTCTCTAATAATTTAATGAAACGTCAAAGCTTCCGCGATTCGCGCGGGAGGGGGTAAACTGAAATCAGACAAGGAATCCGAGTCCAGAATTGTACAACAAGTCGTCTTTTTTCTCTAATAATTAATGAAAGGTCAAAGCTTCCGCGCTTCGCGCGTAATGGGGGGGGGGGGGGGGGACAGCGAGCTGCCCGAATATGAGTTTTTGATATCTTTTCTCGATTATTTTGGTGATAAATAACACTTTCACAATATACATATTACGCTTAAATTGTTGCTCGCTCGCTTCGCTCACTAGCCGAATTGTGAAACCAGAAAATTACTTTTTCGGGCAAGAGGCTATAACCCCCCCCCCCCCCCACGCCCCCAGAGATAAAAATGTCAAAAATTGTACCGGTATGGTGCTTCTAAAATGACCTTGAAAAAACGGTCTGCGCAATTTTCAAATTTCCGGCCCCCCCTATTGGAAAATCCTGGATCCGCGCCTGCTATTCTCACACATAAACCTTATACGCTCTTCCGTTAATATGTCCGTATCAAAATACAAGTATGTTTTTAGATAAAAATGATTCTTGACGCCATTCAGCAGTCTAGTTTTGAATTAAATAATGTGCCTTACATATTACACACCATTGGAATATAGTAACATTTTTTAGAATTCAAAGCAGAATTTAAGTTTACTTTATATAAACTCTAGAAATCTAAATAATTTTTTTTATTCTTTGGAAACGTTCCATTTTCCTCTAGATAATTCCCCTTCTCAATTGACATATTTACCTCTGACATGTTTACCTCAGATATTTTATTGCTTATGCAATTCTTTAAGACTTTTTCTAAGGCACTCGAAACTTTCTTTACAGAATTCCTAAGCTTTTTTTTGTTGTTTTTTTTGTTCAACAAGACAGTGTATTTCTTAATCCTCAATTTACATAGGTCCATGCATACTGAAGGTTATGTTTTGATGAGTCTTCTTTGAACTCCAAACAATGTCTTCAACACCATCTTTATAAGAATACATTATGAAGTATAGTGAAACATCCTGTGTTTTTGGTTTAAACTTTTTCTTCGTCGCTTTCTCGTTTTGCCTTGGCTCTTCTCTATTTCTAACTAGCCTTTGAATCATGTAACTGGTCATAATATTTTGCATCATTAGTGTGTATGTTAGTTTTGAAGGAGAAAAAACTGAGAAATAAATCTAGTGACTTAAGTTGATCATGCCATGAGCAATAGGTATTACGTAAGGATTGACGCCCATGTCATGTAGAAACAATCGTCTATAATGGGAAATTGTCTGTCGATATTTTTCCATTGAGTTGTTTGAGAGAGAGAGAGAGAGAGAGAGACGGAGAGAGAAAAGGGGGGGCACAGAGAAAGATAGAAAGAGTGGGGGGGGGGTGTGAGAGAAAGAGAGAGAGAGACAGTGAAAATAAAACAAATAATGTAATTATTATTGTTATGATTGTGACAGGTCGAAATGTTTCCTAATTCTATTTGTTGAGGAGGTCCCTGAATGAAGGGATCCATGTCTCTGAATAAGGAGATCCCTTTAAGTGTACTTCTGAGGTGGTCCCTAAAAGGGGAAGTTCACTTTGACCTTAAGTCTGAGAGGGGTGATATGGGGTGATTTGGAGAGAAGAATAGATTTTTTGCCACATCATAGGGGAAGTGCACTTTGACCTTGAGTCAGAGAGGGTATAGGGTAATGAGAGAAAGGATATTTTGCCAGATCACAGATTGAGAGGGATGAGCATAGACCATGCATCCACTCAGGACTTAGGACGTTGAATTTGACAGAGAAGCTAACTCTGAGTAGAACTTCATACTTAATAGTATTTCTGCAGCATCTATGGTAAGTTCTAAGTGGAATTATAATGTATTTGACATGCATCATTAGATTGAAACCGTATAGAGGAAACTTGATTTCATGTATAGTTGACAACTCTTGAGTGTCTTATTGAGTTGTGAGTTGTATTTCACATTCCTTTGCTGTTATTATGTGATACTACTAGAAGAATCTATAGAGAAACACTCTGTGTAGTACCCAAGTGAAATTATGTCAATATTTGGAGGCCTATCATTAATTGCTGTTCATAATGAGTTGGTTTAGAAAACCAAATATGATACGATCTGTGCTTCTCTGTATAAAGTATTGTGTATGCAAAATAAGACCTGGTATACAGTGATAACTAGGTAAAGAGATAATCTGTATCATTAGTATTGGATATTTTGTTGTCAAAGTAAAATATTTGTTATATATCAAAAGCTTGCAAGTTGCATGTCACTTTTTAAGAATTTGAAAGTTATAGAAGTTATCATTTAAGTTACCATTTATGTTACAGAGGTCTTACTTCATCACTTGGTTGGAGATGGCAGTTAGTTGGAGATGGTGCACTATCTACATGTAGTTGGTCTAATTCTAGTCTCGTTGTCTCGTTAGGAGTCTCTCCTCGAGAGCTCAAGAGGGGTGAGTCATTGTAATAATAAAGAGAACTATACAAAAAGGCAATTTATATTTCTGTATTCATGATTACTTATGCATATTTGGGCATTTTATTGTTATACCTTGCTTATTGCTCTTAGATGTTACAATGTTAACTATAAACCATATATGGAAAAGTATCCAAAATGTATAATATTTCTTTGGTGTGAGGAAAATGCCAAGTAGGGCAATAGTTATTATTGATGTATCTATTCCTATGAATGATCATAATAGTTGTTATTGATGTATCTATTTCTATGAATGATCATATAGTTTTGCTGATGTTCAATATGTGAAAGAAACAAAAACTAATCTGTTTGCCTGTTTCTTTTTGTCTCATTAAGGGTTGATCCATCCTCAAAATAAATACCACCTACAACTCTAAATGACTTCGTCGAGTGTCATATGTGCCTGCTGTTACATGATTATCATTATTATTATTATTAGTAGTAGTAGTAGTAGTATTAGAAGTAGTAAAATATATTCAGTTAAATCAGGGTTCCATTGGAGTATACCATACATAACTTGTTCATCAAAGCACAAAAAGTTACGAAATGTAGATAAAATTGCTTCAATAGAATAGATAAATGAATAATTCCTTATCAAGTATCAGACCATACCGATTTAAATGTAGATTGCCGAAAAAATGAACATAATATCCTCATATGTCACGCTCTCAATTTGACCATGGAACAAAAAATGTCGTTGTTCTGTAGGAATTTAAAAGTGGGCTGCTAAATAACTTGACCTAAATAAAATTTGTTGTTATGATAGAATGATCAGTGAACCAAAACACGTCAACAGCTTATACGGATATTGAACTGTATTGATTTGTTTTTTATTTAGTATGTCAAGCATACATGTATTTAATGCGTGAATTTTTTTTTCTTGTTTGATTGAATTTTATTTCTGCTTTCAATATGTATTACAAAATAATGTTATATCGCAGAAAAATATATCAACTCATTTTCAGACATTAACAATTTACTTTTTAACAAATAAAGAAATGTGGGAGTGAACATTTTACAATTAACAGGGGGCCCGGGAGCCCTCGTGCTATCGCAACCCAACCAAAGAAATTCGTGAAAAATCATGTATTTTACAGATTACAATACTAAAACATTTGCTGTATGATGTGTTGAACCCGTATATTAAATTATACACCCGGGCACCTACAGCATACACCACAATTCTTAAAATCCATTTTCTTGATCAAATCGTAAAATTGGACGAATATACCTTCCATATTTACATGGAAATCACAAAATCATTCTTTCCTTCGTCTTAGATGAGTAAGATAAACTTGCAAATGACTTGATCTAGATTTTTAAAAAAATCAATGAATATAATAAATGAATGAATAAATAAATGAATGAATAAATAAATGAACGAATAAGTGAATGAATAAATACATCAATAAATGAACGAATGCATGTGTAAATAAATAAGATAAAATTAAATAGGTAAATACTTAAGTAAACAAAAAGGTAAATAAATAAATGAAACCTCGCATTCTTACTTTGGTTGGACGTGTTTCCCTGTGACTGAGCCTCGACGTTTATGACAGCAATGACAACAATCATAACAACCAACCAACTCATGAACGACGTCGAGTAAAGCATCATCATGGAAAAGATGTTATCACACACCGACGTCGGAAAAGTTTGTTAAAATCAGCTCAAATGTACAGTAGCTAGTTGGTATGTACAGCGAGGTGAAGATTGACTGACTGCATGTGATTGTCTCTGCAGACCTCTAAAGCTCGAGTATTTTGCAACGTGCAGGTTGAAATTATATAAATGATTGAGACTACCGCCGAGAACAAACTGCTACTACTAGCATTGCTTCCTGTCCTTGCTTTATAGGTTAGATTTAAACGCCGGTAATCGCCACTATTCACATCAGAGTTGTGAAGGCTAGGGGAAAACACACGGACAATGAGACTTCACGCATCACTTCTCTTATATGCAGGCGGACCCAGGTTTTGTAAGAAGGGGGGGGGGGATGATTATCAGTAAATAACAACAACAATAACAAAATAATAATGAAATAAGTGGTGCATAAAATGATACTTTTCTTCCTCTAACGTTTTTGGCGCTATGTTCACATTGCTTTGAAAGTCCGAGATTTACTAGGAACTAAACGTTTTTCGCTGCTTTTAATACGTTTAAAATTTTCTTTACCTCACCACATTTTTGCATCGTTAGAATTAAGTTTTTTTGTTGACGTCATATACGCGCAGTAAAGTATATTATCGTACGTCACAACTTTTTGGTCGAGCAAGTTAATACTTAGTTCGCTCATATTCTTTCGGAGTTGCATTTGCCACAGAAGAAAGCACATATGAATGAGACCAAAAGAAGATTACTGACTTGAAAGGAGGCAAAATTGTGGTATAAAGGACATCCCATACCACCGAGTATCAGTGGAGGATCCAGGATTCCCTTAGGGGAGTGGGGGCCCGAGTCTGCAAAATGTAAACAAGATTCTCACTTTTTGAAGTTTTTTTGGCATGTTCGGGCTATCGTAATAAGCCGCAACGAGAAGGTGGGGGGGGGGGGGATAACATTTTCTTTCTTCTTTTTTTAATACTCGATGGACTTAAGATTTAGTGTGTACGGGGGGGCACGTGCCCCAGAACCCCTGGATCTGATACTGTGTTTTCGTAATGGAAAGGTAGCTTTCATAGACGGTTTGAGATTCTAATATACCAGGGACATCCCTGAGCATACCTTCTATTGTTTAAAATGCCCTATTCTCGACTTTTGCAAAACGGGATGAGGGGATAGGGGAGGGGTAATTCCCCTTGTCTCTCCATCGTCAGATCCGACGTGCATACGCTCGCCTGGCCTAATTTTCTTTTGTACGTTATATTTGGAGTCATTATGGTTTTACTTAAGACCATTTATTATACATGAATTGCAAGACTTTGCCTAATGGATGATCTGATCATGATGATCATATCCAGCTATTCGATGACTTCCAATAATATAATTTTGAGAAATACAAGCATATCGATTTCTTAAGTGGGTTCACTTTCTAAAAGATATTGAAACTGAGTAATGGCATTCATGAGCACGTTTTTATACATCCTAGATTCTACTCCATGGTTCCTTTTTAGAATTGCATTTGAATGTGTTTGCATCATTTAAAAAAAGGAACCTTATACGCATAGCTGCTATACAAGCCTTCAAAAAGCTTTTAAAATACACGCGTCTCATTGGATGAGAGAGAGATGTAAATATTATAGAAATATTCAATATCAAGCTATATTATTTACTTTGGAACCTTGAAACTGATATCAAGAGGACAAATTATTTGTAGAGAGATATGAAACTTCACAATCTGAAGTCGAAATTCTTATTTTTCCTATTTTATTTCACGCTTTTTGTGAAATTTCATATAATTCTGTTTGTGTGCTTTCCTATTACCAAGATTACTTTCAGAAATTAATGAAAGTAAATTCAGTACAGGCGTATATGTAATTTTGACCATGGAAATGTCAACATTTTCATGATAGCAAATACATTTTCCATTCATATCATGGACCAGCACAAGTTACTACAATATATCTTTAATACAATAATGTTACCCTCACTTTAAATCATTAATATACGACTTCAAATAAATGGAAACCCGAAGCTGTACTGTCTGTTTAAAAAAATAGACGTAGTAAAATGTAACAATGTTATGATAAATGTATAGTCATGTTAATGGTACCATGGAGCCATTTCGTGTCTTGAGTAAGTGTTAAGTTTCATGTGTCCTAGATTTTACCTTGATCAAGGCTTCTATCCCGCTTCTATACACTGTGTCCCGAAAAAAACTATACACTTTTGAAATGGCTGCCGAATAACAAATATATGATTCTAGGGGAAAAGTTATATATGTATGGAAAGCTCATATACTCATCTTTCATATGACACCAAAAGTTGCGAAAATAATTCATGCTTGGGTGAGCACTGCTCACTTTTGTAAAGGGTATGAAAATTAGGTTGCGCAGGAATTAGCCTTCCAATGTGTGAGAGGTAAATCCTTTGGAGCTTACGGAATTGAGGATGATATGACCAATTTATGATCAATTGTGATGAGTTTGGGTTTGCTGAGTGAAATGTTTGGTTTATGGGATTAACATTTTATGCATGAGTGAACAGGAATTGCATTTTTTATTGTAGCACTGTAACTTCCCTGTTAGACTCAGTGGTGTGTTCATGGGAGTCAGGATGGGGTGATGGTACATGTTGTTATTTCCATGTTACAAACTGTTATTCTCTTACATCTGTGACTTTGAATAAAAACCTTCACCCCACATTTCAATTATTGCAAGATTAGTTGAACATCTCATTGATTTATTCAATACCCGGGTAGGGATAATGTAAATCGAATATTCAAATACGGTTTGTTGAAAAAAGGAATGTCCAAGATGTCGGCTACTTATTCTTCAGGTAAATGGTAACTGAAATGTGGGGTGAAGGTTTTTATTCAAAGTCACAAATGTAAAAAATAACAGTTTGTAACATGGAAATTACAACATGTACCATCACCCCATCCTGACTCTCATGAACACACCACTGAGTCTACCAGGGAAAGTTACAATGCTACAATAGAAAAATGAAATTCCTGTTCCGTGCATAAAAGTTTGGTTTAATAAACCATGGAATTCACTCCGTCAGCAAATCATGAATTTATCATATCACCCTCAATGTTGTAAGCTCCAAAGGATTTACCTCTCACACATTGGAAGGCTAATTCCTGCGCAACCTAATTTTCATACCCTTTACAAAAGTGAGCAGTGCTCACCCAAGCATGAATTATTTTCAAACTTGTTGGTGTCATATGAAAGTTGAGTTTATGGGCTTTCCATACATATACAACTTTTTCCCCTAGAATCATATATTTTTTATTCGGCAGCCATTTCAAAAGTGTATAGTTTTTTTCGGGACACACTGTATAATTGAACTCTGATGACTTCTAATTGTGCTGGTACTACTTAAGAGCAATTTTTTTTTATAGTGAAGATTACAAGCGGACGTACAACGTCTGGGTAGATAGTTTATTCCTCAGCACTACATCCTGACTTATGGATCCTGCTGAGTATCGTCGTAGAAGTAGAAGTAGAAGTACAAAATAATTTGGAAGCTTTCTCAATTTGTGTGTGCCAGGGAGAATATATTATAAACGTTTTCTTCGTGTAAAGGATTGCTCTTCGAATCCACTCCTTTCGAAGTAATACAAGAAAAATTTAAAAATTTTGGACCCAACTGTTGTGCCACATGTGTTGGCAGTCCCATATATATACTCATTTCTGTATAAAGCACAGTGTGATTTACAATGGGAATGAGTCATTTTTTGTCATTTTCATTACCCCCAAACCTCACAAAATTCACAAATTCCTCTATGCAACGGAATCAACCTTTCTAGAAAAACTTCGAGACAGTTTTATTAACCTGTTGACTCCTAAATTCTCTCATTCCCATAGACTTAATACAGGAGTCACCCGGTTCCCGTTAGCAATGGGTTAAAATGCTTGACCAGCTCTCAACTTCATTAAGCTAACAAGACCGATAACAGACCGAACAATCACCTACATTACACTGTTTTGCCAATATTCGGTTGGTATGGGATGGGTTGGCGGTTTAATTAAATTCATACTGAGACGAGTTACCTAGGCTTAGGAACGAATCCATAATTTTAATACTCTGTTTTGTACTTCGCATGATTCCCCCGCAATTGTTTCCTTTTGACATCTGATTTTCTTAACGTTCTTTTTTCGTTATTTACGTGACCCAGAATTTAGTAAAATTATTCCACATATCCTGGAAGGTTTAAACCGAATTGGAGCGAAAAATTACAAAAATTACAAAATTATTTTTTACTTAAAGGGATAGTTGAGTTCTGTTTTCAGACCGTAAATACCTTCAAAGTGCATGGTTATTGCTCTTATTCTTATCTATGACATTTATAGTGCCCTTTTAGAACCTAAAATTGCTATGAAGGTAATTTTAGACCCCAAAATGTTTGAAATTTAGCCAATACCGTCATACCAATTCAGCTCCACTTAAAAAAACCATGGTGACCGTTAATTAATTATTTAATTAAAAGTAACAATACATGAGCCGGCTAATTGTGAGTGATATAAGCAACACGAAAATGCCAACAAGAAAGCCAACATAGGCATTGGCTGAAATACGACGTAAAAGGCGTTATTTCGTTTTTTTCTAACGGTTTTTTCAAATTTTTCAAAATATCTAATATTTGTGGTGGTACACAAGTATTAGAAATCGTAGTATTTCAGCCGTCTCTGAACCGATTTTGATCAAACAAAGATGATTTTGTCATTTGAATATTATGTTCTTTTAAATTTGACACTCAGTTTTTCATTATCTCACAACAAAATTATTTTGTGTAGCGCCCTCTGCAACAGAACTCAACTACCCCTTTAAGTGTTGTTTAGTGACTGTGACGTTAAATTCTGCTGAAGTGACCCCAACAGTAGGCTTAAAGAAAGGACGACGACATCCAAGTTGAGATACGTGCATAAAATGCAGTTCATCTGTAATATCAATAAAACAAACAAGCAATCATAAGCATGTGTACAAATTCACATGAATAAACAAACATCTATTGTATCGCACAACTAGCTTGCCATAAATGACCTCAATATGTATAACTGAGTAAAGAAAACCTTCAAGAATAAACTATGTGAGTAAAGCTCACTTGTGCAAACACAAACTGTATAACTGCCTCATTTATCTTATTCTAATGAACTGTCTCAAATTCTACCTTTGTTTACAAATATAACCCTTACAAATCATACCTCTCTATCTTGTAGGTTAACATCATACACAAATAAACCCTTGACCAGCCTTATTTCCTGCCTCTATC